CAATTAGATTAGATGGTCATTATTTTCAGATGACATGACACTTTAAATAGAAGACCCCAAAAGCTCCACCAAAAGTCTTCTAGGCTTAATATCTAAATAAAGTAAAGTAGGTGGATACAAGGTCAACAAACAAAAATCAATAGCTTTCCTCTACAGGAAACCAGACTCATTGAGAGAGAAATACGGCAAACAATTCCTTTCACAATAGCATCCAAAAAGCTGAAATACCTAGTAATCAACCTAACCAAAGAAATCAAAGACCTCTTCTCTGAAAACTATAGCACTCTGAAAAGAGATTGAAGATGATGTCAGAAAATGAAAAGACATCCCTTACTCCTGGGTAGGAGGAATAAACATAAGAAAAATAGCCATAATTCCAAAACTGCTATATAGATTCAAAGCAATCCTAATTGAAATCCCAACAACATACTTCATGGATCTTGAGAAAATAATCCAAAAATTCATTTGGAACCAGAAGGGACCTAGAATAGCAAAAGCAATTCTATGCAACAGTGATATGGCAGGAAGTATCATAAAACCCAACTTGAAGCTATACTACAAAGCTACTGTGAAAAAAATAGCATGGTACTGCCAAAGAAACAGATCTGAGGACCAGTGGTACAAACACGAACATGCAGAAACAACTCCAGACACACTCAACCACCTTATCTTCAACAAAGGTGCCAAACACCCTCACTGGAGGAAAGATAGCCTCTGTAATAAATGGTGCTGGATAAACAGGGTTTCGACTTCCTAAAAATTAAAACTAGGCCTATATCTCTAATCATGCAGTAAACTAAAATTGAAATGGATTAAAGATCTAAACATTAAAACAATCACTGAAGCTGCTTGAACATAGGTTAGGTAGATCTTTTGAAGTCATTGGTGTAGCAATAGATTTTATGAATAAAACCTCAGTTGCCCATGAACCAGCACATGAAGTGGGATATTTTCTTATTAAAAAGCTTCTGCACAGCAAGAGAAACCAGCAAAAGTGTGAAGAGACAACCCACAATGTGGAGAAAAGTTTCCCTTGCTGTCCCTCTGATGGACATCTACTATCTAGAATATACAAAGAACTTAAAAAAAATCAGACCTCCCAAATTTAAAGACCCAATCCAAAAACGCGCATCTGAAATGAACAAACATTTCTGAAACAAAGAAGTAGAAATAGCAAATAAACCTATGAAAAAATGTTCAACATCACTGGTCATTCAAGAGATGCAAATGCAAACAATGCTGAGATTCCAACTCACCCCAGAAAGAATGGCTGCTATTATGAAATCAACCAATAACTAAGGCTGGTGGAGATGTGGGGAAAGAGGAACACTGCTGCACTGCTGGTGGGAGTGTAGACTGGTGCAACCACTGTGGAAATCAGTATGGAGAAACCTCAAAGAAGCAGGATGGGAAGTTTCATTTGACCCAGCTATTCTCCTGCTGGGTATCTTCCCCAAAGAAGTAAAAGAATCATACCACAGTGATATATGTGCACCCATGTTCATAGGAGCACAATTTGTAATAGCTAAAACTTGGAAGAAGTCCAATTGCCCATTAACTGGAGACTGGATAAAGAAAATGTGTAG